ATCGAGGAGACCCATGCATGAGAAAGCTGAGTTTAGTACTAGGAGTCAACAAATGCATGCTATAAATGCAAGCAGCAATTTCTATATATATATGAATTCCATGCACGCACATGCATACTGACCTTCTAGATATATATGTTACTGAGGAAAATTTTGGTCATAGTTATAGTAAGTACAAAACTGCAATTGTGGTGTGAAATAGAAGAAAAAAAGAGGAGAGATTATAATGTTGTACATTTTTTTAACAAGTGAAAGAACCACGAGTTTCATTATTTAATTGTAAAAATACCACAAGCCAAGTAATTATTTAATGAGAGGGGAGGAAGAAGAAGGGAAACAAGAAAAATTAAAGGATCATTAAAATGGAGAAGGCATCATCAGGAAAGGAGGTCATCATCACTACTGAGAAGATGGTTGCTGTTTCTTATGATCGTTACCAATTCCTTGGAGCAGCTGTTAGGGCTCTTTTCAAGTGTTTGGGTGTTGGGGATTCTTCAACTTCAACCACACAACAAGTGCTTATAGATTTTTCTGTTGAAGCCCCGGAAGTTGTTCCACCGCCAGCGGCAGTAGTAGCCCCGGAAGCTGACCCTGCTGCTGCTTCTAACGCCCCTAAAAGACCGGTGAATATAATCCCCCTTCATCTCTCTCTCTCTCTCTCTCTCTCTAAACTGTATATTTGTGTTGTTATGTACAGAGAATTACTCTTCGTGCGGCCAGGCCAGAACTAAGCACAGGGAGTGGTGCTCAGACTAATTGATGATCTTTATATCCATTATGAGAAATCCAAATGCAGACTTGAGCTAATGGATGTGCATGTACATCATTCATGTGAAACAAGAGTTTGCTACGTCCGATCTAATTAAGCTTCAGATTTTCTAACAGCTTGCATGTACTTTCGTATTTTAATTTGTGCTTTATGTGCTGATCTCCAATGTGTGTGTGTGGGAGGACATAGTTTTACACATGACTTGTGAATTAGTCAAATATGTAACGTGATATATATAATAATTATAATAAAACGCATATAATAAGCTATGACAACGTTGAATATGGCTACAGATTTAGAGTAATGTTATTTATGTGTACTACAAATCTTTCGATAAAAAAGCGATAGAAATTTATTAGATCAACAAGGAAAAAAAAATACAAAGGGAGCCATCTAAATTCTCACATGATGAATGTTACCTTACCTTAGTTTATTCTAATTGAATTATCTAATGTGATGCACATACCTCAATGTAGCTAATTGTACGTAGTTTATTCTAACTAAAACAACATCGCATATTAACCAAGGTGGTTGGTGTGAGTGGTTCGGCACTCTCATTCCTTAAGAGAAGTCAGGGATTCGATCCCTGCTCTCGTACGGAGTCACCACTTTGGCCAACACTTTACCCCTTATGGGCCGACCCGGTGTGAGTGGGGATTAGTCTGGGTTGTGGTTAAGGCTTAAAGGTGCCACTCATAGTTGGGGCCCATCCAGGACCACCTCATGGTTCAGACCAAAAAAAAAAAACAACATCGCATATTCTATTTGTTTTTCCAAAAATCAGGTAGAAAATCGAACCAAACTGACTGATCCAATTCGGGCCTACGGTTTCAAAATTCACTTTCCCTGGCTCAGTTTTGGTGTTGGTTCTGGCCAACCAAGCTGGACCGCACCGTACCCAACCTTAAAAGTTAATTCTAAGTAAAACAACATTCTATGATTTTAGGGATACACGAAATCAAGTCTAAATCACATATTCAACTTTTCTTGTCTATCTATGGGATCATTTGTTGTTTTCAATTAATATCAATGTTTTAAATCGTTTTCGTGTAATACGTCGCATTTTATGTCCTACAAAGTGTAGTGTAAGCATTGACGCCTATGTAAATCTTTTGGAAATAGAAATAATATAGTAAAAAAATAATAATAATACATAGTCAATGGAGCCCTGAGGGTGGGCAAGGAGGGCGATGGCCATGGGCCTCGCATTTGTAGGGCCCCAAATTATATATATTATATATGTACCAAGTTGAAGAGCATGATTTTAGAGGAGAATAATTTCTCAATAGTTTGGCATTTGGAGGACCCAAATCTGATTACAAGTGTTTCTAAAGAGTCGAAATGAAAATTATGTAATATACGAACATCAATTGCATGTATTTACATATTTAATTGCTAAAAGTAGCAATTAATGAAAGAAAGCCAATAGGGACTAGAAATTCTCTTATTTATCAAAAAATTCTTGTTAGTAGATTATTTAGCGAGGAAATATGAAAGAGTGCAAATTATTTGTATCCTCATTCTTGTTTATTTTCAGATTGGGGCAGTGATTATATAACCAATATTGGAGCCGTGTTTATTTATCCAAATTGTATTTAATTGCATAATTTTTTTTCCATGTTAGTTTATTATATTCAGGAGAATGAAAGAGAAATGGGCCTCATTTTCATTTCTAACCTAGCACACCCAAAAGTTAGGGCTGGCCCTGTACATAGTATATACCATCAAAATGTTCTAATTATCATTCAATCACATTAATGTAAAAAAGTTCAGAAAATTCAAGATATGGCATCTAATTAGATGAATTCGCTTTGGATTTTACAGCAAATTTGAGGGTTAGGGTTAGTTTTCTTTCGAGGGAGCACATACTACATAGCTTCAGGCATGTTTCAAGGGGCATATCATGATTTGGGGGCGAATTGTATTTGACAGCGGTTGCATCTAGATTGAGCCTAGATTGCTTATGTACCCTTTCGAAGGGATCAAACCAACGTAGTTCAGTATGGAGATGGATTTGATTTGTGGAAATTTAGTTGATGTAACTAGTGATTCAAATTTGGTTACAGTTACGTCTATTGGGATTCTAGACTGCCTATGTACCCTTGATGGGATCAAATCGACGTAGTTCGAAATTGATTTAGAAATTAATGGGTAAGCATGGCCCACTAATTTAGAATTTGTGTATAACAGATTTAAGAGGAATTTAATCTCATTGAAATTTGCATGGATAGATGACTCATGAGAAAATTTGGAATGGTTTTGTACCACTTTTTTCATCGTCAAAGAATACTAATTGGCAATTTTGATGAAACCACTCATTTAATTTGATCATTAACACATGCATTTGTATCCATGCATGATTCGGAGGATTAGAGATTAATTATCTTGTGATTGACAACCCCATTAACCCATATTGACGATCCTTTGGTATCTTTTGAGAGCGAGCTTGATGCTCGGAGCATGACCAATCTCATTTGTTTGGATTGGAGTCACCGTCACAACATGGTTGAGTCATGACACTCCCTTTTGAATAGCTTCCTTGCCACAGTGATTGATTCCCATATTTTTTGTGACTCTGTGTTGTAGCCATCTTGCAATTGAGAATTGTGGTGAGGCTTATTCGATCCCGCATTTATAATTTTTGTAACAAATATCTCTTCTCTTTTTGTGATTTTTTTTTTAATCACAACATGGTTATAAAAGGTCCTATTTTCTAATATTCTATGCACACACGTAACTAAAATCAAATAATTTTTCTGTATGAAGCCATGTATTCATAGGGTCTATTTTCGACTTCGTCGTGGACCCTAAAAATCATAAGGCCATAAACTCTATTTAAAACACTAATTAATATAGATATTGATTAGTGATTTTTGAGAACACGTGTTTTTAAGTTTGTGTAGAATAATTATTAATTCCGTTGGATATGTCCTAAGTGTTTAGGTACATGCCTGCAAAAGAAATAAGCAAGAACGTAGTAAGTGAAGAGAGGAATGTAACATGAGATTAGGTGACAAAAGACACATGGCACATTCCTTGGACAGCATACATGCTCCAAGAGTTGGTAGTATGGCGGTGATGGCTCCATCAAAATTAATTACCTAATACACACATGTATTTCATTTATGTCACCATGAATCTTAGAATAACTTGGTCTTAATTCCCTCATTAGCTGCATAATTTTACGTTATATAAAAAGGAGAAAAAAGCTAATACACGCCACTTTTAACAATATTATCAACGACCTTTTGATTTAGTAGCTTTTCTCTTGCTAATAATCTTTTTTTTGTTGTTGTCAAACTATAGAAATATCATTGATAAAAACGAAAAGACTCGATTACAAGATCCACACAGCCAATCAATTCCTTGAACCAAAGTAATTATAAAATACAGTCGTATATCGTACGCGTGTACCCCAGGAGATTCATTTCGTTGAATTAGCAATCCAACAAATTTGCTTGGCATCATACCTCATTCGATGTGTTCCAAAAGACATGTTGTAGATTTTTAGTCACATTACATTACGGATTAATTATTTTTCCCACAACTTTAATTTCTGAAGATTTATGCAAAGTTATGTAATAGAAGAGAAAAGAGAAGGGCAATTTTGTACATTTGTGAAAACTGAAAAGAAAACAGGCATTCAAAGCAATATCTGAAGGAGAGCAGAAGCATTTAAGAGGGTATTAAAGAAGTAGGTGAATCTCTCTGTCTGAAACACAAAAAGAAGAAGAAGAAGAAAAAGAGTACTTTGTTGAAATGGAGTACTCACAAGTATCAACTGATGATGGGGAGGCGGAGGTGAAAGAGAAGAGAGGTGTTTCCTATAATTTCTACTTACACCCATGCTACTTCCTTGAAGAAGCAGTTAGGGCCTTTTTCAAGTGTTTGGGTATTGAGAATAGAGCACAGGAGGAAAAAGATAATGGGGAAAAAGGCACTGAAACAAACCCTAATAAAATTTCTCCTTCAACCTCCCAAGTAGAGCTACAAGATGATGCTGCAGATCCATCAGTCACAGCAACAGACACAACAGAAGCTGATCCAGCTCCATCTTCAACTATTACACAAACCTCTGTTAGTCTCTCTCTCTCTCTCTCTCTCTCTCTCTCTCTCTCTCACACACACACACACACTTTGCAGACATCAAGTTCTTTTTATTATTATTTATTATTGAGCACCGAAAGGTGATTCGTACTTGAAACCTCTTCCAGGATTAAGAAAACAAATACCAGAAGATAAACTTCAGCTGATACTGTGTACATTAAATACGTTACATATGTTCTAAGTTAATGCACATGTATATATATGTGTTTTTGTTTTTATGTACAGGAAGTTGCTGTAAGCTTCAGGGTTGTTAGACCACCAATAACCAGGGGGGGAGGTGGGCAGATCAATTAATAGGCTTACGATGTGGGTCAACAGGCCTATTAATGACATATCTATAGGTTACCTCTCTTCTTTTTTGCCCACTTTTTCCTCTTTATTTTCTCCATCTGTTTTTGTATGCTTTTGAGTTTGTATGAGGTATTGGACTGTCTGGTTGTGTGTGTAATTTGAAAGACTATATTTGACAGAACTCAACTTTGTCTCTAGAATGAAATGCATAATTTTAGCTTAGCAGTGGCATGCATATATTTTGAGAACCCGTTTATTTGATAGGCAGCAAACTGATCTCATCAAAGTTTTACAAGTTACCTGCAACATGTCAAACTATAGGGTTTATATTCTGCCGGGATCTGCCATGCTCTTGCTCACCCGCCACCAGAAGCATTGCCTAATTATTTTTCTGACAAAAAAAACAGTATTTACTCCAAATCTGTCTAGCCAAAGGAAAGTCTCCAAAATTGTCATGAATAATGTAGTCTGAATTGGTTATAGGCCATAAATGAAGTCTGAATCAAAATTTAATGACAAGATATTGTTACCAGTGGACTGTAATGAGCACACGCAACCAACTGGCAAAAATTGATAAACCAACACAACACGCAAAATAAAGCAAACCACGAGAACAAAACAATTTAACAAGGTTTGACGATTTATATTGACGTCTTCCGTGATCACCTTAAGAAATCTCGCTGGTGAAAAAGAACAACTTTGGTTACAAGAAGAACCCCCTCTGCCCATTTCTAAACTCTGGGCCTTAATCTCTCTCTCATCATTTCTCAAACCCTTTGGTGCATCGATCTCTCGTTATGTTTCCACAACTCTCCTAAAGTCACATTTTTATCTCTTGTGGTTAGAATCAAAGTATGAAAATAAAACCCAAAGAAATAGGTAAAACATATATTCCGATCAACTTAAAATAGGAAACCAGACGACTGACCAGTCTGGTGGTTAGACCGATCGGTCACTCACTTTGCTATACTATTTGAGCGGTTCGTTAGCTACTTTGACTGGTTGCTCCGCTACATACTAAATAGTAAGCCAATTCACAACATCAACTCGGACTGAATCAACATAATCACAAATTGTATAGTACTTGAGTTGGAAATCATACTAGCATATGGAAGAGCAATCTTGAATGCTGTTAAAATCTCTAGGAATTGGCCTCTAGAAATCTCTAGAATCTGGGTTGAAATTTGTGTGAAATCTTTTTAGGGATTAATTGTGATCAATTTGATATTTGTTGAGATGATTTGTATGGAGAGAGAGAGAGAGATTGTCATCGACTCTCTGTCTTCTTTATATATTGTCATAATACCTAACTGAAATAGGAGAATCTTTCCCATGGTGACTAGAATTACTTACAAATCTTCCAACGTCCGACTAATTTCATGTTTGAAGTTCACGGGAATCTTGGTCAAAACTAACCAAATTGACATGACTAGCCTTGAAAATACTTGACACTTTTTTCTTTCTCTTATAGGCCAATGGGGTCTAGCCGAGTGGAAAGGGCCTTAATTTACAGGATGTGTGTGTGAGAAAACCCCCCTTTCCCAACATCGCTTAAGGTCGTTATGGCAACAGAAAGTGCTGTGAAATTGGGAATGTGGCTGTCCTATTTTCCAGTCAAGAGAGAGAGAGAGGGGAAGGATGAGATTTGATTTTGACCAGGCTTTTAAACAAAAAGGGTAAAATTCTATTTTACCTTTCAAATTTAGACAGGCCCAATGAATCTGGGCCTTCTCTTTAGCCAAATTCAAAACAAAATTTGATTCTTATGTATTAAAACCCAAACAAAAATACTCTCTGTCTCAAATCCTACTTAATAGGGATTGTTATGTCTAATACCTAATTTATATATATATATAAAGAATCTGGAAAAATTGGGCTTCACTTATTTAATAGCTCAAAGTCTCATTAGATCTATTATTTAATAAATTCAATAATAGCCACATTTTGGCCCTCAACAAAATTAAGCCCAAACACAATTAATGCCTCAAAATTGAAGGACTAAAATCGTTTGGATATAAACATGAAAGGCAATATTTTCTTTTATTTCGAGTCCTTGAACAATAACATTTATAAACATGAAAGACATACCCTTGCTCAAACCCTTTGATGCCCTTGTAAACTCTCACCATAGTAATTCCCTCTCTCTGTTAGAATTAACCTTGCCCCAAAGTCCTATTTATATCCTGTAGGACTTGGGTTACAAGTGTACTTTAATTAGGAAACCAAAAACAACTAAAATCCTATCAAAGTAGGCTTAAAACGCAACAGGTCAGCAAAATCTGCGAAAACCAATCGATTGGCTGGCAATTGCTGACCAGTAGCCTGGCAATGGCGCACTCTCTCGAGAAAACCAACCGGTTAGCTGGCAATTGCGGACCGGTCTCCCTGCAACCTCCTTTTGTTGTTTTCTTCTACTTGTTTACTTCCCCACATCAATGGTGAGCCAATCTTTAACAAGTTTTACAGGGGACATCACAATGTATGTTAAGCTTAGTTTTGTCGATTTGCTTTGTTAGTTTTGTTTATTATTTAATATTTATGTGGCTTTGGATGTTTAGAGGATTAGAATTGAGGTTATCTTGGTCAACTCACTCTCCCTTGATGACTTTAAAGAATTGACTCAAGTTAATTTTCACTTGGCAGGAATTCTTGTTCTTTGCAATTGGAAAATCGAAGTTTTAAGTTTTAATTATTTGAACAAAAAGTTCACAACCTAGGTTTTATTGGTCTTTGTTCATTAGTTAAATTATTGTTAAAGTTCTAATCTTTATTTTTTTCGGTGAAGAAACGGGGCTAACGCCCAACAGAGAAATTAAACAATGGCTTGAGGCCTACAGACTCCAAGTAAATCTTCACTAAGAAAATACCTAATACTATCAAGAGGATCATGGAAAGTTGACAGACCCAACTCAAGACATGAACTCAATTCCGCTAATCTATTTGCCATCATATTGCACTCATGATATACATGATGAATAGAACAAACCCAGTTTCTGTCTATATAGTCTTGGCATCCCCACAACATAGCAGCAAGAGGATGAAGGTCTTCCACATCTTTATTAAGCAGGTGTACCGCAATCGCTAACTCAGACTCAAGCACAACTGCACTGCAACCCATATCCCAAGCAATTTTCAGTCCAAGATAGATGCCCCATAAATCAGCTTCCAAGACTTGTCCTACACCAAGATTAATAGCAAAGCCACTAATCCACTACCCAGAACTATCTCTTAGTACACCCCCAACAACAATGCGTCCATCCTCACATTTTCTGCACCCGTCTTCTCTTAGTACACCCCCAACAACAATGCGTCCATCCTCACATTTTCTGCACGTATTGATTTTAATCACTTCTTCATTCGGGTATTGCCAAGAGAGCACAACAAGAGAGCGGGTGGGTTTTCCAATCTTTCATACTTGCGTTGCGTGCTGATTGATCATATTTTTAGTTGATTTTTATTGTTGTTGCTTGCATTTATTATAAAAAACAACTCTCTGAAAAGACAACGAAAAAAGAAAGAAGGTATTAGTCAAAGTCTATCCTTGGATAAATATTTTCTAAAAAAAATCTAATGATTAGTTGATTATAAATAATAACAAAACACCAATTCTTAGTTGATAGAAGTATGTAATTTAGATCGACCCTGCTTTTTTTGTTGTTGTTGAAATGGGGGATAAAACCCCAAACAAAACAAACTACTCAGAATGATTTAAACCGACCCTGGTTTTGGTACCACTCTTAATACCTTTTTTTTTTTTTTTTTTAGGGAAATAAAGTTTAGAGGGAAATCGGTTACTCTCATCAGACCTACAATCTCGAGCTGGAGGCTTTATACGTGGCACTCAACTGCCAGCTACCACCGATATGGATTTATGTAAGAAATTACATATCGCGCACCAACGAGGATTGTTGATAGCGACACTCAAACACTAATAGGGCTACACACAGTGCATGAACCTTACCAAATGAACTAACTCTCATTGGTTTAATACCTGTTTTTTGTCATCATTATTATACATATATTTTCTTCCTCTCATTTGACTTCAATCGTATTAAACAACCCTAATAGCCCTTTACAAAAGGTAGATTACTGAAACACCAAACAGTGGAACTGAGTCAAAGATCTTGAAACTATGTAAGCATCATCTGGACTCTCCAATGTATTATAAAATATTTTCTTTTTCATTATTTTCCCCAGAAGGATAAGTGTGAACTAGAACAAATTATTGGCAATAAAAAAAAACTAAAACAAATTCAAACTATAAATCAGTAAGGAAGAAACTAATCAAATTTTGGTAAATATATACACACATGTAAAGATTTTATCAATTACCAAGTCTTGACCTACTTCTGAATATTATATTCAAGTCTTTATTACCTACTTCCAGAAGAGGAAATTTATTTACAAAGAGTACAAGACCCAGTTCATTTTCTCCAATCTATAAATAGACTTATATCCCTTGAAGGATTTTCATCCCACCCTCAAAACCAACTCTCTACACAAAACAGTAGTAAAAATTTGAGGCAACGTAGCTAATTAAGCCAACTGCGGTGAAAAGTGATCATTTCCTCATAAGCACTCTTGCCATATTGGCATTTGCAATCTTCCTTGTCTCTGCTTCTGACCCCACACTAGTAAAAAAAAACCCTTGCGCGACCAAATTTTGTGCGACGAAACACAATTCGTCGCTCAAAGTGACTTTGCGCGACGAAAATTAAACTTTGTCGCTCAAAGTCTTACGCGACTAAATTTTGCGCAACGAAACACAAATCATCGCACAAAGTCACTCTGCGCGACAAACCTTTGCGCGACGACAAAACATCGTCCCTCAAAGTAACTTTGTGCGACGAAACAATAAAATTCGGTGCACAAAGTCTTGCGCGACGAAGTGTGGTTCATCTCGTAAAGTCTTTACAAAAATAAACAAAATAAAAAATTAATTTTAAAAATCTTTGGATGACTTTGCGCGACGAAACAATAAAATTTGGTGCACAAAATCTTGCGCAACGAAGTGTGGTTCGTCTCGTAAAGTCTTTACAAAAATAAAGAAAATAAAAAATTATTTGTAAAAATCTTTGCATGACTTTGCGCGACGAAACAATAAAATTCGGTGCACAAAGTCTTGC